TTCCCTATCTTTTAACCAGTTCTCAGTCCATCAAAGGATCTTCCCTCTTATCCCATGACAACTTAATTTATGTAAGAGCCTTTGGTGAGGGACCTTGTCAAAGGCTTTCTGGAAATCTAAGTACACCATGTCCACTGGATCCCCCTTGTCCACATGTTTGTTGACCCCTTCAAAGAACTCTAATAGATTAGTAAGACATTATTTCCCTTTACAGAAACCATGTTGACTTTTGCCCAACAATTTATGTTCTTCTTCTATGTGTCTGATAATTTTATTCTTTACTATTGTTTAAACTAATTTGCCCTGTCCTGACGTTAGACTTACCAGTCTGTAATTGCCGGGATCACCTCTAGAGCCCTTTTTAAATATTGGCGTTACATTAGCTATCTTCCAGTCATTGGGTATAGAAGGTGATTTAAAGGACAGGTTACAAACCATAGTTTATAGTTCCACAATTGAGTTCTTTCAGAACTCTTTGATGAATGTCATCTGGTCCTGGTGACTTGTTACTGTTAAGTTTATCAATTAGTTCCAAAAACTCCTCTAGTGACACTTCAATCTGTGACAATTCCTCAGATTTGTCACCTACAAAGGACGGCTCAGGTTTGGGAATCTCCCTAACATCCTCAGCTGTGAAGACTGAAGCAAAGAATTCATTTAGTTTCTCCGCAATGACTTTATCATCTTTAAGTGCTCCTTTTTTATCTCGATCGTCCAGGGGTCCTGCTTCTGATGTTCTTTAAAAACATTTTGTTATTACCTTTTTGAGTTTTTGGCTAGCTGTTCTTCAAACTCCTTTTTGGCTTTTCTTATTACATTTTTACATTTAATTTGGCAGTGTTTATGCTCCTTTCTATTTATCTCACTAGGATGTGACTTCCACTTTTTAAAACATGCCTTTTTATCTCTCACTGCTGCTTTTACATAGTTGTTAAACCACGGTGGCTCTTTTTTAGTTCTTTTACTGTGTTTTTTAATTTGGGGCATTCATTTAAGTTGGGCCTCTGTTATGGTGTCCATGCAGCTTGCAGAGATTTCACTCTAGTCACTGTACCTTTTAATTTCTGTTTAACTAACCTCATTTTTGCATAGTTCCCCTTTCTGAAATTAAACGCCGCAGTGTTGGGCTGCTGAGATGTTCTTCCCACCACAGGAATGTTAAATGTTATTATATTATGGTCACTATTTCCAAGCAGTCCTGTTATAATTACCTCTTGGACCAGATCCTGCGCTCCACTCAGGACTAAATCGAGAATTGCCTCTCCCCTTGTGAGTTCCTGTACCAGCTGCTCCAAGAAGCAGTCATTTAAAATATCGAGAAATTTTGTCTCTGCATTTCGTCCTGAGGTGACATGTACCCAGTCAATATGGGGATAATTGAAATCCCCCACTATTATTGAGTTCTTTATTTTGATAGCCTCTCTAATTTCCCTTAGCATTTCATAGTCACTGTCCTGGTCAGGTGGTCGATAATAGATCCCTACTGTTATATTCTTATTAGAGCATGGAATTACTATCCATAGAGAGTGGCCATCCGCTGTGTATCGATTGTGATTTCCTCACCAGGTCTGACTTATGTTCAATACTTGCAGTTTCCTCCCTCTTGGACCAATGTCCGTGGTATCCAGTTACCAAACAGCCTTTTAAAAATATTTATTTTGAACAAAAGCATTTCAGGGAAAATAGATCTTAAAATAATAAACTGACTCTATGGACATCCAGGCGTCTTTCACATGGGAATCTTGGTAGATTTAACTTCCTAAAGACTCCTCAGCAGAGTCTTTCTTTGTCAGCTTGTCTCCTTAGACAACCTTTTGGCAATGGACAACCCCCTCCCCCTCAGAGGGCTTTTACCTGTTTGGTATCCTTGTGAACTCCAGGCTCCCAGCCGGACAAAACAAGGCTTGCAGCTTTGCTGGAGACAGAATAGGATCCTCAAAGTCAATAGCTTTCCCTGTTTCAAATGTATGCCAGGATGTTCTTATTTGGGGAGCCACTGTGTTGGCTTCCTGTGCAGTCCCCACTGAATTAAAACAGTATAGCTATATAATATAAAGTCTCTCAATAACTAGGTTGCCTATCAGTATTCTTTGAATACACAGCAACTCCACAACAATCACAACTAGTACCTAGGTTTCTGGGTTCCCCTCGGTGCTAGGAGAAAGTGAGATATATTAGGAAATGGAAAGATTCTATCAGAACCCAGTAATGAAAGGGAGTTAATAGGAAAGATTGTGGAATCATGTTTATTAAAGGATTATGATAGAGATGTATTTATTCTCAAACAGTGGAACAGGGATCTGCCTTTTTTTTTCTGTTTGACTTAGGAAATGTTCAGGATTTGAATGCATGACAGAGACTGGAGACTTACAAAGTTGTTTACCTTTTATAATATCTTAGAGTTCTGTAGCTTGCTGTGCACTAACATCCCATGTGGACACTGCTACAGTGCAGTGAAAGTCCTGGAGTGCCACAAATATAAATAAGTAAATAGGATCACTTTATCAGTAAGATTTTTTTGTGTGACTGACAGTCTTGCAACCTCAATCTGGGATCCAAGAATCTACATAGTTCTTTACTACTTATGCATCATCATCTGTCATAAAGGTCCTGCAAATAAAATTCTGCCCTTAGACAAACCAGTACAGCCTCAGTGGAACTCACTGAAATTTTGTAAACAATTTTGTTGATGCAAAGGAAGGAACAGAATCCAGCTCACTGTTAGATAAGAGATAGACATAGCAGTTGATTTAGTTTATCACTGGAATAAGCAAACAAGACTTGGAATATATCTAGGGAAGGAGGTGCATTTATATATAGTCACTTTTCAGAGTAGAACTGTATTTTAAAAGCATATGTGAGCTTCCAGTTTTTCTCACTCATTTGAATAGTGAGTGTGATTTCCTTTGCCACAAACTCTCTCATTAGACTGGACTTCCTGCTAAGGAAGCAATAAAATGGCAGCTCTCGAACCAAGAAAGACATGCAACAGGGGTGGGGAGTAGGGTAGATAGTGGTTGCCTTGTGAAGAAAGTAGGGAGTATGATGAAAAAATGTTTTCCTTCAGAGAGGGTGACTCATCATCTCTGTTTGGCCCCTCAGGTGTCTCCACAGTTTGAAAGCACCGTGTCAACAGGCTTCAAGAGATGTCAGAAGCAGCGCCATGTTGCCCACAGCTTCCAGAGCCGGGATGATAGTCGTGGTTTCCTCCATGTGGGAGGAGTGTGTCGGAAACAAACAGTCTGCAAATTTCCTCCTTTAATGTTTGAGGCTCCACAGGCACACCCCTATGCTGGAGCAACAGGGTACTCAGACTCTTGTGGTAATCCAGGGAATTGTGCAAAGACATGCCATATCCAGCCAAAGAGGGGCACTGCAGCAAAGCCCAGTACCTCAATGGGCAAGCCTAAGAGCTGTAGAAAAGGGGCCTCTCAGTTTCCTAACCAGGATGCTGAGCCAGATGTCTTCAGTCCACCAGATCTACGGACTCCAGAGCTTCCCTCTGTGAGAAGCTATGGATGCTGTGGTACTCTGCCACAGATGAACACCCTCTCTCCGAATCCACATAGTGGCCTTGATCTCTGTGCTGATACCACTGAGAGCCTTGAACCAACATCTGTACTGGTCAAGGATACCCCAGAGCATGAGTACGGAGTGAAGGTAACCTGGAGAAAACGGTCTCACCTGATGAGATACCTGAGGGAGAAGGGGATGCTGAGCCCAAGTGACATCCTAGTGAAGACTGTAAGGGCTGATCCCAGTCAGTGCTCATCCCTTTGGAAAAAGGACACGCTGCCTTTGACTTGATGGGCACAATAACTGAAATCCCTCTTTGCTGGCTCCAAAAGCAACGGGCATTGCTGAGCCTAGTTGGGAGATCAGTGACAGGATAAAGAGAAGAACCAGGACTTATACTGTAGGCTAAGACTGCTTGGTGCTGCAGAGAGATGCTTCCCCCCGGAGTGCTGTCTAGCCTGGCGGAAGATCAGTCAGTACTGGATAGTGATGGGTGGGGGCGTGGCTGAGAGGTTCCTATTCTCCAAGAGACTTTCTATACTGATCCCCGGACGTATCCTTCCCAGTTGGCCCGCTCTCCCCATATCTCGTCTTGGGTTTACAGCCCCTCCCCACTGCCGCCTGGGCCCTGCTCTCTTTGTAGGGGTGGGATGCGCTTTTCGCAGACTGCTCCAGCTGCCCACGCTGGGGTCTCTGTGTCCAGCCTGTTTCCCCTCCACGCACGGCCATTGAGCTACCTCCGCAGCCCCGCCTCGTCGGAGCCTCCGCTGCACAGTTGCCGCCGGGGTGCCCGGCACGAACAAGAGGGGGTGATCCCACGGCCACCTTGCAATAGGCATGTGTGGGTTCTGCCCCACCCCTTCCAAGCACCAGCCAATGAATGCTCCAAGTCCTCAGTGCCGGGTGCGGTTGCTAAGGGCAGCGGCGGCGACCGGGGCTAAGCGCGAGTGGCCAGGATCCCATGGCAACGGCGGGGGTGAGGATGGAGAGCGCGGGGGACCGGGCCAGGCCCTGCGGGGGCAGGTGAGACCCAGGGAGGGAGGTGCACAGGCGGAGTGGCTCAGGGGTCACCAGGGACCGGGGATCCGCCCTGCAGCTCCCGGGCCGACGGGGTTTCGTTGGTACTGAGTGAGGCGCCCCGGGCTCATCCGTCGTAGATGCCGCTGACGGTCCCGGCCAGCAGCACCTGGATATGACCTCCCCCACTACCAGACGCTACAATCGCAACCCTGTTAAATGTTTCCTTCCCCCCCCTTGCTTGTGTGGAAAACGTACCCAGTCAGGCTGGGCAATGGCGTCTCCCAGCGGGCAGGGCACCAAATAAACTCATTGCACACGGGAATGGCTTGGCTTGGTTTAGTTCATTACAGGATTTTAATCTCGGGAGTTAATTGCAGCCCTAGGAGATAAAACGATAGACTGATGTCTTGAAGTTGATGATGTTCCTGACTGTGATGTACAATTTTTCAATATCAGTGTGTGTGCAGCTCAGCCCCTCATATACAAAGAGAGCACTTACAGTGGAAGGGTTAAAATATACCAGATGTATTGAAAAATTCTCTGCACTTCAAGGTCCCTGCCCCGCCCCCAGTAGTCCCTTCTTTTCCTGAATTTTGTCACAACAGGTCAAGATGATGTGGATAAATATCTCTGTCAGGCAGCCGGTCTACACTAGTGTTCCAATAGTTGCTGCAGTGGTGGGGAATTTTAAGAAAAGGCTGGTCTCTCCACACAAACGTTGTACCATTTTAATTTTATCAGTATAATTAAATTAGTACAGCCTGCCTAGCAGGGGATGCAGTATACTGTACTCCTAAGGGAATTCTATGGCAAAAAATAAAAATTCTGTGCACAATATTTTATTTATTGTGGAGAATTTGCAGAATTTTTAATGTGGAGGCTCCTGCATGGCCGTGAGGACTGAGGAGGAGCACAGGCTACTGGCTGCACAGACGTGGGAGATCACCCTGCAGCCCCCCCTGCTTCCCAGAAACTCAGCAGTGAGGCTGCACCCAACCCTGACATAGCACAAGGGCTAGGCCTGCCCCAGAAAGACCCTAGGGTCTTGCCCCTCTGTGCCAGGTGCACCAGTTGTGGGCAGGCAGCCTCAGCCCAGCATAATCCATCTGTAGAGGGGCTTGGTGTGAAGTGAGAAGGTTCTGTGTGGACCAAACTGGGTGCGGGTGACTCAGTGCGGGGCTGGGTGCATGGGGGATCTGGATGCACAGGCTTGTTGGGGAGGTTCTAGGTGCAGGGGCAATGGGACTCTGCAGGGGGGTCCAGGTAAAGGTGGTTAGGGCTTAGCAAGCGGGGGAGTCTGGATGCAGGGAAGTAAAGAAATCTGCGGGGAGAACATAAGAATGGCCCTACTGGGTCAGACCAAAGGTATCTAGCCCAGTATCCTGTCCTCCGACAGTGGCCAGTGCCAGGTGCCCCAGAGGGAAGGAACAGAACAGGCAATCATCAAGTGATCCATCCCGTCGCTCATTCCCAGCTTCTGTCAAACAGAGACTAGGAACACCATTCCTACCCACCCTGGCTAATAGCCATTGATGGACCTATCCTCCATGAATTTTTCTAGTTCTTTTTTGAACCCTGTTATGGTCTTGGGCTTCACAACATCCTCTGGCAAGGAGTTCCACAGGTTGACTGTGTGTTGTGTGAAGAAATGCTTCCTTTTGTTTTAAACCTGCTGCCTATTAATTTCATTTGGTGACCCCTAGTTCTTGTGTTATGAGAAGTAGTAAACAGCACTTCCTTATCTACTTTCTCTACACAAGTCATGATTTTATAGAGCTCAATCATATCTCCTTAGCTGTCTCTTTTCCAAGCTAAATACTCCCAGTCTTATTAATCTTTCCTTTAGCACCTCGCTCGTCCAGTGGCCTCACTGGTTGTTTAGCAGGTTTCCTGCTTCTGATGTACTTAAAAAAGAAAACTTGCTTTACTTTTTGAGTCTTTGGCTAACTGTTCCTCAAATTCTTTTTTTGGCCTTCCTAATTGCATTTTTACACTTCACTTGCCAGTGTTTTATGCTCCTTTCTATTTTCCTCACTAGGATGTAACTTCCACTTTTTAAAGGATGCCCTTTTGCCTCTCACTGCTTCTTTTACTTTGTTGTTTAGCCACGGTGGCTCTTTTTTGGTTCTCTTACTATGTTTTTTAATTTGGGGTATACATTTAAGTTGAGCCTCTATTATGGTGTCTTTAAAAAGTTTCCACGCCGCTTGCAGAGATTTCACTTTTGGCACTATACCCTTTAATTTGTTTAACTACCCTCCTTATTTTTGTGTAGTCCCCCTTGCTGAAATTAAATGCTACCGTATTGGGCCGCTGTGGTGTTTTTCCTGCCACAGGGATATTAAATTTAATTATGGTCACTATTACCAAGTGATCCAGCTATATTCACCTCTTGGACCAGATCCTGTGCTCCACTGAGGATTAAATCAAGAATTGCCTCTCCTCTGGTGAGTTCCAGGACCAGCTGCTCCAAGAAGCAATCATTTAAGATGTCAAGAAACTTTATCTCTGCATCCCGTCCTGAGGTGACATGTACCCAGTCAATATGGGGATAATTGAAATCCCTCATTATTATTATTGAGTTTGTTTATTTTAATAGCTTCTCAAATCTCCCTCAGCATTTCACAGTCACTCTCACCATCCTGATCATGTGCAGCTATTCCCTATTTAGTATTATCTACCAGGTTTGCTAACCTGATGTTTACTCCCCTTTCCAGATCATTAATGTAAATTTTAAATTTTAAAGACTAGATTCTGCACTGATCTCTGTGGTACCCTACTGGGTACTGGTTATCATTACTTTTGTTTATGGTCTTTTAGCCTGTCTTCCAACCATAAGATAATATTTTTGTCTAAGACATTGTAATTAAGTTTTCATGAAATCCAATATAATTTTTGTTTCAAAAAATCTAAATACATGATCTCTGCTGCATTTATTTCATCCACTAATTTTGAACTTCTAGTTTTTAAAAAGCAATTCAGATTGCCTGGGAAGATTTATTCTGTACAAACTTAATTTTCTTACTCCTTAACAGTCTGTTTGCAAATGGATGTACCCAAATGGATGAACATTACTGTCACCAAAAAGTGAAAGCAGGTAGTGGCAGAGGGGAAGGAGAGGCAGTGAGCGGCTGCCAACTAGACGGTCCCTGGGGTGGGGCCCAGAGTAGTGGGTGGGCCTGCCCCCCCCTTCTTTGCCCCACTGGCCGCCAAAGGAAGTGGCCAGCCAAAGGACTGCAGTTTGCCCCTGAGTGAAGGATGGACTAGGGGCTGCAGTTCGCCACTGCAATGAAAGGCCAGGTGAAGGATTGCCGGTTCCTCTTGAAGTGGGGGATACAACGGAGTTGGCGCACAGCCGGAGGGCCGTGCCCTGAAGAGGATGCTGTCTGGGAGCGAAGCCGGTCCGCACAGACAGTGGAGATGGTGGAGAAGCAGTGACTGTGAGACACCACAAGAGGAGGGCACCCTGCTGATGGACAGAGCTAATTCCCCGGAGCAATCAGCAGGAGGTGCCACAGTGGTGAGCACAACCTGTTACAGGGCCATTATCCCACATTAGCTGCTGTAACTACAAGTGTGACTGTTACTGGGGATAAAGATTCTCTGGTCCCTGTTACAGTGCAGGGTTTCAGTGCATGAACCCCACGGCCTCAGAGTCCCAGGAACGGTTGAATCAGTGTTTTGCTTTGTTTCTTTCCTAGCTCTGCCAGAGCTGCCTCATCCCCGCACGGGGCCCAGAGCTTCCTCACTGCCTGGGAAACTAGCCAGATTTGTCTTA